TGACGTGACATGTTCGTACGAACCCTTTGTACGAACAAAAGTAAGAGAAATTTAGGATAAGAATACGAACATGTTCCTGCATGAGGCCCAATGACCCCAGCAGTGAGTCAGTGTTTCCAGGTGAGCTTCAGTATAGACTCTCCGTATCATTTCAAAATATATCTAAATGTTTTATCTAGTTTGTTTTCTGCTTTGGTTTGAAAAACTGTGGAAAATTTGTGGCACGTTCTGTGATTTATTAATTTTTTTATGGTGTAATGCAGGGCGTACTTGCTAATTTTCAACCTTTAATGACCTCTAAATCTTTAACGTGTGGTCTGATTTTTAAAAACTGAACTGTTTTGGAAACAGCTCTAAAATAACTTTCAAATTTTTATCAAAGTGGCTAGTCAAGGTCAGTTTTATTAGCTTTTTAAAGATAATTCACAAGTCAAACCTGATCTTGATTTTTTTTTTCTTATTACTTTTGTCACTTATAAACTAAAGCTGTGGGTGGGATACATCAGCAGTCCCATACAGGACTTTCCCCCCCAAACAAAAATACCTTAAAGTCTTCCACAAAAACAAACACAATATTGGAAAATGCAAGCAGGATAACCAAATCACGTCAATTCATTTCTGTGAACTTGATCTCATTCCTGAGGCCAGTGTGTGAACAAGTAAAACCAGTTTTTCTGCTGGACAGTCTCATTTAATGTTTAACATGAATGGCTCACCTCGGCAGGATGCTGCACCACATACAGACATGTGGACACCTCCAGGGGCTGTGCTGGTAAAAATGGACAGAGACACACCTTCAGAGGGCGGCTGCAGAAGAGGAGAGTTGAAGACGTGAAGCTGTAACGTTTCACTCACTTGGGTTTTCTGTAACGATATTAGCCTGTTCCCTCATTAAAGCATGATAACTAAACACACGAGGGGAAAATGAGGTTTCCCGTTTAGCCAGCCTACCACTAACCCAAACTCGGCTAGTTAGCATTAGCTTCAGTGTAATTCAGCTCACCGGCATCGTAAACATGTCGGTCTTCTCTCTTCGACTTCCACCGGGAGGGCAGCCAGGTCTCCAAAAGCGTCCACTAACTCATCCTCTACGGGAGAACTGTCACCAGGTGCAGGGCCGTATTCTTCCAAAGACACAGCTGAACCCAAACAGGAGGCATTGTCCATGGTGGAGTTAGCAACAAGCTAAATTAGCAAGAGTTGCGTTGACGGACCTCGGAAAATAGCAGCTTTATGTTTTAAAACCAGATTGGTTTGCGAATATGTATCTTTTTAAATGAATGCATCTTTTGATTTGTTTTAATTAAATAGCAAAATCGATGAAAATATGTTTACCTTTTATTTATCTCAGTCGAACAAAATTAATTGGCCACTTGTCACCGGATCTCGACGTGCTCTCAAATGCAACACCGAACTGGCGTGTCCTGTTTTTTTTATTGATTTTATTTTTTTTCCCTTACATTTTTGTGATTACAATATTTTTACTTCTCACAGTGGTAGTTGTTTAAATCAAAATATGTTAAACTCTTAAGTTGTAAGTTAACCAGGGGTTAAAACTTTTGCAACTCACTTTATAGTTGAGAAGTGGTTATCTGCGGAATCAAAGTGGGCGTGTCACAAGAGCGGGCGTGTCTAAACCTCAAACGCTGTGGGCTATGAGCAAGTCAAGTAGGGGACTGTGCGGACAAGTGGGCGTGTCACAAGGAAAGGCGATTCTAAAGCGACACACCTGATTTGACGGACTTTTTAAAAGGGACACACCTGACTGGGCAAGCAAAAAAGGGGCGTCACCGTACGGGACCTCCTCATTGGACAAGAACAAAAGGGGCGTTACTGTACGGCATCACTTTTTTCTGGAGACCCCTACTTGGGTCACATTTCTCCTGGTTAACCTTAGTGTTGGGGTCAGGGTCAGGCTGTAAAGAGATCAAGCAGGATCTAAGGATACCGTCACGTAGGCCTCGTAGCCCACAGTGTCTATGCTTTTTGACACGCCCACTCTTGTGACACGCCCACTTTGATTCCGCAGATAACCCTTTCTCGCTATGAGGCCTACATGACGGTATCCTTAGATCCTGCTTGACCTCTTTACAGCCTGACCCTGACCCCAACACTAAGGTTAACCAGGAGAAATGTGACCCAAGTAGGGGTCTCCAGAAAAAAGTGGTGCCGTACAGTAACGCCCCTTTTGTTCTTGTCCAATCAGGTGGTGCCGTACAGTAACGCCCCTTTTGTTCTTGTCCAATCAGGTGTGTCCCTTTAAAAAAGTCCATCAAATCTGGTGTGTCGCTTTAGAATCGCCTTTCGTTGTGACACGCCCACTCGTCAGCAGAGAGCCCTACTTGGTTTAGTTTGACCTTTGGTCAGTGGGCAGGGCTCTCATGTCTCATGCATTGACAGTGAGACTGACATGCACATGCCACACTTTTTCTCATACTAAAACACACACACTTTCTCAAGAGAAATCAGTGTTCAGCTCACGTTTTCCTCATTGGCTAAACTGGTCTGGGTTGAGAGGTTCTGACTTCTCATTTTGTCTAAAAAGGTCTGCATCCACCTATTCTTTTCCTAATTATTTTTATTCCTGCGTTGGGACCCCTGTACATACGTAGGATGTGATCAGAGCTGAGAGTGCCTCCTGTTAATCACACAGCCCATATAAAAAGCAGCAGCAACGCTTTCACCTGTTGTGTGCACAAAGCTTTTATCATTGTGTAAAACCAAAATCCCCTCTGTTCTCATGGCTTTTTTAAAAGTGGATTTGCTTAATAAAGTTTAAAGCTACTACCAGTCTACTTCTGAAGCCTCATGCAGCAACACCAGCTGCTCAGATCTGAGAGGAGACTGATGCAAATGAATCAGGCTCAGATCTGCTCCTAATCCTGCCTTACAGAGCGGGATGTCAGATTTACTGTAATGTTTCTTTCTCTGACACTGTCACACTAAAATAAACCTGAACCCGACTGCGTTTGACTCAGCCCCAGTCACTTCTTCACCTCGTCCACCCTGTGTGCCTCTGAATGACAGAAATAACCAACAGCATTCTCCTCCCTAAGGTTCCTCGTCTTCCACCTCTGATGACATCACCATGGCCTTCTGATGGTACTACAAGAGGCCTTTCCTGTGGGAGGAGGAGGGCTGGAGCTCTACAAACCTGCTTTCCACAGCTTTCAATCACCTGAGCCTCTGGTCAGGTTTTCTGCACCTATGTAGCAACTTGCTACACCGGTTTTTATATAGTTTGTTTTTAAAACCTTAAAGGTTGTATTTTCTAGTTTGTGTGTTTTAAAAAGTCTTGGGCTTGCATTTGCATCTGACAGGACTAGCCAAGCCACAGGCAGCTGTAGTGTCTGAGGCTGTCCAGCTATCTGGTAGCATCTGGCACCAGGTACTGTTGATCCAAACTAGAGGATTTGTTGAGTTGAACTGAACTAACAGATCAGAGGGCTGTTTCATAAAAGTATGATTGAGAAATCCAGGATAAGAGATAAACGTAGGCTGGACATGATCAGTTTATTCTGGCTTCGTACATTTCACAAAGGTAGAAGAGGTGCAGCTATGTTAAGCCAGGTGGAATAATCCAGGTAAATGCTCATCCTCAAAAGGCCATGAGATCGATCACAGATTCACCGGGCCTCACGCAAGAACCGTTCGTACGCACAGATTTGTTCTTAAGTTGTGCGTACGAGTGATTTAGGAAAATTTGTGGCATTCACCAATGTTTTCGTATTCTAAGAATTTTTTCAGATACGAACAAAATTCACGAGTGGTCCAGACCTGTCGTATATTTTACGAGCAGTCAGTCTGCTGTTATCCAGACGGGTTTTCCTCCCTAATAACTTTATATTTCTGTAAGAACTCACTCTATGAAATTAAGACCAGCTCAATCTCACAAAATAATCTCTTACTCAAGATCTTTGCAT